TTCATTATTTAAATACTGATGCCGGACTTCGAGATTGTTTTTTTAAAAAACAACAACAATAAAAGCAAAATTATTAAAATACATTTAAAAACCTGTCCTTACTCTTGCATTGGGTTGTCATCAATTGCCTTAGATGACGTAGCAATGGTTAAATGTTGACAGTTTTACATTAATTATATCTCTTGGGACGCCTGGCGATGAGAGCACAATTCGAAAATGAGAGTAAAATTTCATTCATAGTTTTTTTCCTTTTTGTTTACATTTAAAGATAATTTTTTTGCAAGACAATTGTGTATTTTAGTACAAATGTTGGTAATAACAACAAGTGTTGATACAATATCTTAGTCGTAATGTTTGAACCCAGAAGTTCGTACAATTCGAACTGATACACTTAAAGTAGAAACGAATTAAATTTTAAATACCTCGAAATGTATCGGAAAAAGGGATTCAGAGCAGTTTTCATGTTAAGGTCACGACAATGTTTAAGGGTCAGGTAAAACCCTACTAAGATAGAGCAAAAAAGAGAGGAAAATATTGATTTCATGTGAAAGTTTAATTAAAAATTACTTGTTTCTGCTGCATTTAACTGCATTGAATCAGCACTTTTGGACAAACACAATCAAACTTCATTATGGTGATCGCCTACAGAATATTGAATTGTAAAAACAGGTGATTACTTTTCATCATGAAAAGAAATCGGAAAAGGGAAACTTTTTTCATTGATTGATTGCTATTCTTCTAAAACAATTTCTGTAGTCTGTATTAGGTTTTGAACCGAAAACGATAACACTACTGTGGTAGACGGCGTGTGTCTAACCTTCAAAAGTAAAAGTTGGTGACTTACACTACAAATTAATGGATTAATGTATATGATTGCCTTGTGCTTTCCAACATTTGGAAATCTGAAGACAACATCTGCCCTGACAACATCTTATGTTAATCGAATTGTCAAGCACTAAATGCAGTTCAGTCAGTGACAGAGATAAAATATGCTTTTAAGATTACAACATTACATGTATAGTACAATGGACTACTTTTTGCTTTTAAAAGGTAACAAACAGTTTAACATCTAGTTGGATTACTAATAATCATACAGAACTCATAAGTCAGATGTTGTCTAAAGTGATTAAACTTCCTCCTATATATTATTCCTCCCTCACTACAATTACATTTTAAGATTTTCATTCTATGTGTATGAACGTAATAAACAGAGGTCTCAGAGATGGACTACTGGTGGCGGCAGATCGCATAACAGTTAGGAGGTTCTCGAAATATGAAATTTGAATTATCTTGTCCTTTTGTTGTGCTTATTGGCGATACGTTTTCAACGCTGTACTGTCTGATCATCCATATCTTTGTGAAAATTATTTAAAATTTTATAAAACGTTAAGTGTTCGAATGTTCAACTCTCTCTCTCTCTCTCTCTCTCTTTCTCTCTCTTCATATGCTATCAAGATCTCTTCTGACGTCCATTTAACTGTAGCAGGAATATTCCATGTGCTAGGACCTGTGTAGACCCTACATTGAGAAATCATTATGTGACAGTTTTCTTTTAAGCCGCTCGTGGTCTATATTCCCTATGTACTTGTTAAATATGGCACATGTCATTGACGATAGGCCCTAACGAATTGATTGTACAAATATCCGCACACAGTACGCCTTCCAGAAATTATTATTGACCTCAATGATTCTTTGAGTTCATTAGTTTTTATTTCATTTATGTTAATTTCACAGTTACATACCCCACAAAGGTTCTTGAACGGTTCCAGAAATATCTATAAATTGACTACTCTAAAATTATATGCTACAATATTCTTATTTTAAATCAAATTCAGCATTAAATTTCACAAATAACTGGCATTCACAGAAATTAATTGGAAGTTGTTCCATACAAAGTAGTGATTCTACTGTTTGTATTTTAAGCAGTCCATGGCTATTCTTCAAAAATGCATACATGTGCATACTCAGGGGCATTATTAATGTCAAAGAAGTAGATTAATCTTAGGATTCCGTTTAACACGAAAGTTGTGTTTTGCCAAGGCGTAAAACGCTATTTTGCATCTCGATCACATCTTTTGCATTAGAGCGTTGGTGTAACGTTGAGTTGGTTTATATATTGAAACAATGCTTGCATTTCCTATTTTTCATAATTTTATTTTTAAACCATTTATATACATGTTTTATTATTTAACAAACTAGCTGATGTATTAAATTCTGTAGCTCGTTTTCAGTTTCCTACTAAATTCTCATTATGATGCGGATCATGACGTGTACGCGATCCCTACGTAAAATGAGGTCGCCCCGCAGTCGGCAGGGGTGGAAATGTGAGGCGTGGGAACGTTCCAAAAAAGTACAACATATACAATTCAACAACGTAGATTTTTGTTATTGTATGTATTGTAATAGTTATATGTGCAAAAATGTAAACAAAATTAAATTCTATATTATTTTAATTTTAAAAATGTAAATTTTTGCAACCTATCTTATTGAATTGAAAATAAAAAAACGGACAATTCTAAAATAATTGATTTTAATGATTTCAGCTGTATATACAAATCTTGCAAAACTTAAATTAATTGTTGAGGATTCAAATACATATACGCAATTGTAGAAAACATGAGAAGTACGACTCATTAAAAAAGCGGGGTCATTTTTCCTTTACAGCAAAAAAAAAATACTACCATCCATGGTACAATGATATCAAGGTAGGGCAATGATACCATATGATTTCAATTTTTTTATTTTCTTGGCTTATTATGTCATCTTTATTTGTTTATGTATGTGTTTTCTTTTCAATAACAATAAAATTGTTTAGAAAACATTCAAATTCGGATGTTTTCAAAATGTTTATTTCATCGTATGCATCGACAAAATCTAGAGTTTTTGTAGCGAAATAATCCTTTGGAGATATATAGAACCTGGTTTTGAAAATAAGTGTTGACCTTTCATTCAGTTTTCGCGGTTTTCAATTATTTATTCAAAATAAATGCAACAAGTTGTTTGATTTTGTTATTGTTTTGATACTATTTCTGACATTACAAGCCAAACAGGTAGACCTCTATACTTGCAATTTTTTCAAAGTTGACCTACCTTCTCTTCATTGTACCATGCTACCATCGATGTTGTTTGGTTATAGTATAACAAGGTTTTTTTCTTATAATATTTTGTAATAAGTGAAATTGTTATATTAAAAAAAGTTGATACAGTGGTCAAATTTGCTGGGGTTTGCTCATGGTATAATTATTACAGGTAACAGCAAGTCCCAGCTGATTTGACACTATAGTAATATTAGTGTCAAACTCGTATTAACGTTTTGTGATTTAATTCCATTTCTTGATATACAATCGGTATACCCTTTTTGATATAAAATTTCACTGCAGGGAAATGTGAACATATTTTTTTGCCGTTGTACTTAACAAAATGCCAAAGGCGATGGAAGGAATGTAAGGAGGAAATTTTTAAGAGGAACAGCGACACCACTTTAGATAATATATTCGTATATTTCATGTTTCCTAAAATTGCAAAATGTAGAATACATTATCTATGTATGCTCTCTGACACTTGTATTATTTACTAAAACAAATTTGTATGTGGTTGTTGTTACGATTGTTGTACAACAACACTTGTTGTTACCTGTATTATTCTACCATGGGGTTTGCTGTCAGCTTGTAATAAAATGCAAATCGTGGCATTAAATTTTTAAACATTCTACACTTTTTTATGTTATTAATTATTTTATTTATTAATTTAATTTTCAAATATTTGTTAAAGTCAATTATGGGAACCCAAATTTGGTACATTCAAAGTACGAAGAAAGTAATGCATTTCAAAATAAAAAGAAGAATCACTACTTCACATAGGACAATAAATTTCAATTTGTTGGATAGAAATAAAACTGATGTAACACAGGAATACGAATTTTTCAAATTGTAGTGCGAGGTATTAATAATTACTGTCGCTCTACTCAAAAACTTTTTTACCGGTTTTATTACCGGAATATTGTAATCTATGAACTCTGCACCTTGAAATCGCCACACTAAAAAATTATATCCCATATTAAGAAAATCTGGTATGAGTGCACGTATTATTTTATCCCATAGTACTTGAACATATTTCCATCAAAAAGTCAATGGCCGTTAATAATATCCATCAACAGTATAGCTAAAAAGCAAAATGCCATCAAAATAATTTGAATAAATGGGTACTTTACATGATCTTATGAATATTTATGATTTCAGCGACGTATCCAAAAATGAGTGTTGGCCCAACTAGCAAAAAATTACTTTTCCGTGTAAAATGCTACATAAATAATAAGTAAATCTAACAAATAAATAGGGTTTACATAAATATTCAATTATAACCCCTTTAAAGCTTCCTATTTTTTTTTTTTTTTTTGTTTCCATCAGTAAAAAAGTACCTAAATATGAATATCTAATCCCCAATTTATTTTCGCTACATGTTGCGCAGCACTGACATAATATTTATTGTATTTGTGAGAGAGAAACGCTCTCTCAGAGAATAGTTTGAGAATGTGTATAGTATGTATATGGGATTTACCCTAAACAACAGAGCAAAGAAGAATATGTATACAAACCATACATCGTATGATGTTTGTTTACGTTTTGCATTGGATGAGGTGTTTTCATACGGCCGGCGGTCGGTTAGGAGGAGGTTAGTTGGGGCTATATAAAAATTTTGATTTCATTATTTTATTTGAGCACTTTTACGCTCTCCGACTGGGATCAGTGAATGACGACGAAGAATCTGTTTCAGAGATTAACAAACAATTCATGACTCTAGTTAGTCTGGAGAGTGGATTTGTAGAAAGAAATTCATGACGCTATCTTGCCAATGTTTTTATAGGCGAACAATCAGCGCACATGGCATGCTTTTTGCCGGTGGATCACCTGTTTTTATTTAAATACAGTATATATGGGTGACCAGATAAGTATGGGGTGGTTTAAGTTTGTTTTCACACTGTTGCTATTTCATGAACTTACCTCAAACGTTTACGTTTCTCCGATAAATCACCATTCATGCGTTGACTGTCATTTTGCATTTTTTGTGGGAATTCATCGCCTGATTCTCCAGCCTCATGACCATTGGTTACTTCATTTTCATCGCCGACCTACAAATAAGTGCAGGAAAAAATTAGTAATGCATTTAAGTTTCAAGATGTGCGTTAACGAATTTATTAGAAATGTTATTTAAGTATTAAAATTGAAATTGAAGTTTAAAATTGAGAAAAAACCGTTACCCTAGTAACTTATTATCATGAGATTTTTAAATAAAACGTACCTCTTCTACTTTTTGGCCATTGAAAAATTTCTGAATCAGGCCACCCTGCAATATAATATTGGAAATTACTTCACGTTTGAATAAAGTGTATGTAGGTATACAATAGTGGAACTTTAGACCGAGTATTGAACTATAGATTTAAATATAATTTGAAGTTAAATGCGGGTTCAAACCAGAATACAAAAAAAAAAAAAAAAAAACAAACAAAGCACCAGATTTACATAACTGTGAATGCAATTCAAACCATCTGGGTCTGTTGATTTAAGGGTTTACGTTTACCCTTTTCATTCTAGGGAGTGAAGTGGTATCCTAAGTGTTGAGTGGCGGTTTTCAGAGGCCAAGCTTTCAAAGTGATTTCATCGCCTTATCCTATTGCATAGTGTACGATGATTGGAGAAATATTTTTAGCTGGATCTTAAACTTCCATGTACCGGATCCTTCATATTCCTATGATGGATAAAAGGTTCAAGGCCAAGCATTTTAAATAAAAACATGTATTTATCATTCCCAAAGTAGCACTAACGTTTTATGGTTAGGACATTAGCTATAGTCATTCAAAAAATTTCAAATGGGCTCTTTATTTTTACTGTATTTAACACACTTAAGAATTTATTGAAGTTCCCAAATCCCCACGATATAATGATGAGGAAGAATTTTGATTCCTCTTAAAAAAATACACAAACTTCTATTGCAAACATGCTGCATTTTATGTTGGTCTATGTTACGTGATAATTTCATAAGTCCTATACTCTCCCGCGGAATTCTTTCAAATAACAAACAATTCACATATATAATTCCAACAACATCATATACTTACCAAAAAGCTAGGCCGTTCGTTGTTCGAATTGCTCATCTTGATGTTATTGTTATTCAAAATTAATCTAAGATTATTTTTTGTATCACAATTATCCAACGTTTCCTGTTGCTCTTCTTGCTGATGATTATGATTGTTTTCCAACTGTTTATCGTCGAGATTTAAACAATTGACACTGTCACAAATCGTATTGTGATCGTCGTCTTCTTCCACCTTAAAACTATCACTGGAGAATTGAACTTTTTTGATGCGGCCAGATGAGGCTGAAGAATTTAATTCTTTTGTACAATTTTCTGAAATGAATGGAATGAAAAAAAAAAATAATAATAATGAAATTAAAGGAATAATAATTCAAATGGAAAATAAGTTCAAACAAATAACTAAAAGTACCCTGAGACGGTTGTGGTGGTGGTGATGGTGGCGGCGTTGTTGCTAATATTGATGGTGATTTATGAATATAATGTTGCTGTTGGCGTCGCCTGGCGTAAGCCACTAATGTTACGATGAAACTGAGTGTGATTATCAAAGTTAATAACATCTGGAATTATTAATTTGTTTTGGCACAGAGAGAAGCGAGCTTGGAGAAAACAAGCTACGTCGTAGAACGCCCTTATTGGTTTTGCTGTTGCCTGATAGTTATAAAAAATCAAATTCCTCAAAGTCAATTCAATGTTGTTGGGAGCTTAGGTGAAAAACGCCAAAAGCATTTAGTGTAAAACGATTCATTACTTTCAGATAAGCCAATTGGAAGCACGCGCGTGTATGTGTGCGGGCGCACTGATCTGATGATTGCGTGTGCTTTTAGATGATGATAATAGCAGCAGTAGGTTTCAAATTATTGTTATTATCATAAAGCTTGGCCTCAAATTGTGTGCAATTTTGTTCTTGTTTTCTTTCAAAATAGTGAGCCGACTTGTTGCTGATAAGGTATTATCACCTGATCGTGGACAACTATAAATAGAGAGAATGCAAAATTGTATGGATTTGATTTTAGATAACCACAAGTTTATTGCAAAACATTCAAAAAAAGTGTTTCTCATTAAAAGACAAGAAAATTGAAAACAAAATAATAATTTATATAAGCAATGGAAAAATACGATCAATTGCGAAGGAAAATAAATGATAAGATTTCAGAACCAACAGCGCACAGAAATTTTTAGTGTCTGGCGATTATTGTTGTATAACAATGACAAGAATAGATTTCCTCAAAAAATATCAAGTTTAGTGGCAGAGCCAAGGAAAAAAAAAAAGAGTCCTTGATGCAAATATATCATTTATAGGGGCGTGGGCAGTTTGGAGGACCTGGGCCGGGCCTCCTCCGAAATGTCATATTTATATGTTTTTCATAGAAAAGTTTTTTTTGCTCATTTTTCAATATTTGCCGAATGGAACCCAATTACATTCGGCAAATATTGAAAAATGCTTCGCTTGACCGAAAGTGGTGAACTGCCAAATTTGGTTTTCTCCGATGAGAAATTGTCCAGCAGTTTGTAAACAAACAAAATGATCGCGTTTACTTGCCAAAGAGGTCAGCTGAAAATGTGCATCTTAGGTTGGCTATCAGAACTCAAGCACCGGCCATGGTGATGGTGTGGGCCGCCATAACAGCCGATGGTCGCTCTTAATCGATCGTGGCATCAGAATATTTTCGCGAAAATATTCTGAAGGGTTTATTAAAGCCTTGGGCACGCAAACATTTTGGCCGCAGACCTTAGACATTCCAACGAGACTCAGCCCGCGCCAACCAAGAATGGTTAGAAAATGAGGTTCCACGCTTCATTTCCAGCGCACAATGGCCACCCAAATCTCCGGATACCTATCTGTTGGACTATTGTGTCTGGAGTATTTTGGAAGCAAGGTTGGCACAAAAAAATGCCAGTGTCGATCACCTCAAGCAAACGCTTCGCCGGGAATGAGCCAAAGCACCGCAGAGCAAAAATCGGGCAACATGTAACGGTTTCATTGGCCATAATTAGTGCCAAAGGTGACCAATTCGAACAATTCTAAAATTTGATACTATTTCCGACATTTTTTGTTTTCATTCAATAAAATTTAAAAAAAAAAAAATGTAAAAATTATGGCGTTTGACTTTGTTTCGGTTTTTTTTTATCTCAACCTGTATATGGTATTTTATATCGTATAGTGCAGCTTAAATAATGTGACACGACCTAATTTGGCTTTGGTATTTCTTCACACCAAATATAACCATGTGTCTAGAATTATCGGTAATCAAAATGATTTTAGAAACATTGCGAGGACCTAATGGCCTCGATTTTTCAACTAGTTACATACTTTAGTTAAGATCTGCAAAGGGGTTTGGAGCAAATCTGGCAATTTTCTATTAAATTTTTTAAGCGAAGTATTTGTCCTTCTCTTCGCTACGGCTTTTAGGCCTACATTTAAAATATTTGTCATACATCTTTTTAATGCAGAGATGGTGTTAGTTATTCCATAAATAACACAGAAAATACTACTGAAAATTACTACATATGAAGACAAGTACCTGGATAAAACTTTCGACTATCCATTGGGGTGGAAAATAAATACAATCACAAGAGATGAAGCAATTAGTTTCCTGTGCATTCTTTTGGTATAATTTTAAAACTTTTTTAATAGTAATTTATAATTAATCTCCAACAAAATATTACCGAAATGCAGTTTTACTACTTGTTGCCAATGTCTTTTTTTATTAATTCACATTTTATGAGATATGAAACACGAATATCTCACATGAGGAAAAAACCCTGACCTTCATTCTTTACCAGTCATTCATTTTGTTATCAGCACATTTTGGAAAAGATTTGGTTTTTTTTGTTTGGTCAAATCAAGAAAGGTTATGGAGAGCTTATCAAAAAGACGAAGGAACATCCCATAACTGAGTGTTATGGAAATGTACACATATACTAAATTAAAATTCCAAATCAAATTTAAAATCTAAACATACACCTATATAATTATGTCTAGAAGTTGGACTGATGAAAAAATATAACTTAGATGATAAGCGTATTATATGGAAATTTACACAAATTAAACAAGCTGTCCATTATCAGACGTCCAGAGATATGTATGTGCAAAATTGTGGAAGGTGGTGGTCCGATTTTGGTTTATTATCAAGTCGAAAAACATCCAATATTAAATTGAGGTAGTGGCCAGACTTGATACTAAAAATAACTAGTTATGAGCTGATTTTCAAGAGCACTATTTTTGATTGATTCCACAACATCACATAATTTGTAAACATTCTAATGTTTTCAAAATACTTGGTCACATAATATAAATTTGAAATATGATAAGTCAAAACATTGATTTTTTGAATAAACAAAGAAAAGTAATGATCAGGTATTCTACACAAATAATAAATGTCTGGGTCATACAAAAACAAATAAGCAAAGGCTATAATCGTGTGGGGCCGACCATGTGATACCCTACAACACTACAATATGTTAGAAGCCCCCTTATGTCCAAATCCATTTTGGAAGATTTCGCATTTGAAATAATGTCACGAAGCACTGCCCAGATATTACCATTAGCATTTTGACCAGGGACATTTGCCCAATATTTACACACTCTGTCGTGCTGTTAGTTGTTGTAGTAGAGTTCTATTCTGGCTATAGCCCCACCAACATTCTAAATTTCGTGAAGATCGGGCCTTAATTGCGAACTGTAGAGTGATTACAAATTAACATGGACAGACGGGCTGACGGATATACATAGCTAGATTAACTCAGTTCGGCGAGATAGAAAAATCCACATATACTTTCCTATGTGGGAAACCAATATTTCGAGGTGTTACATAATTTTTGGCCCAATCAAATTTATAATACCCCCAACACATAGTGTTGTAGGGTATAAATACACCCGAAACGATGCAAATTAAACTTTGCATACCTTTCTGCTTTACTTGGATGGACTGCGTAGTATTCATTACAAACATTTTACATTGTGTCCTACCAGAGATTTTATTAACATATTGTATGCGTAGAAAATCATCACTCAAACCTAAGCAAATCATAAATAATATCTACGGAGCAATATTTTTTCTTTTGTTCCTTACAGATATCTACACAAATAAAACTCTTGACAACAGTGTACTCTAGAATTATAAATAGCTAGGCAAACTTATATGGCATAAAGCCCGTCCAACCATCAATGGATTGTTTGTGTCCACACATTTAAATTTCATGCGAATTTGAAACAACAATTACGCATTAACACAAAAGTTAATAAATTCATTTAAGAAAAAAATATTTAATGCAAAACCAATAACACACACAAACACAGAAAATGCTAAAGTTCATTCCTTATTCCGTGGGCAATGTCCATTACTTGGATAGAAGAGGTAAATTTGAGTATATACTATTTATTAATTTTAAGCAATGTTTAATATTTTATATTATTAAAGAAAAATATCATATTTTTTCTTATTGGAATCTATGTCACATCAACGCCAAGGTCGATCGGTCTACTGTCTCTCAATGGGTTAAAAACAGTAAAAATCAGTCAAGTTCAGGTCAATGTCTTCTTTATTGTGTTTTCATTTCTTGCTTTCATGTTTGTTTAAAAAATCTGCTATGGTCATAACGAAAACGGGTAGCAGCAAAAAAGATAACTGGCTCTTTGGGTTTTCTATAATTTAGCGTCGATGTTTGCATTTGACACAGATATTCAAAATATTTTGGATATTTAATATTTATATTTTGAATGTTTTTGAGTTTTGATCCCATGCTTCTTCTTAAATTTTTATGTTTGAGACCAAAAAGAAACACTTTTAACCAAATAAAAAAGTAGGTCAAACATTGGAATATAGGAGACAAAAGCGGATTTTAATTCCTTGCAGACACCTATATTCCTTTTTTACATAAAAATGGTCTTCAAAAATTGGTAATAACCATAGAGGCAAAAAGATATATTTTTAACATTTTTAAGAGCCCAATAGCGGATGTTGGATTTCAATATTGTTCTCTTAGGTCCCCAAGCTTATTATGATGTACTTTACATTTTTTGGAAGGTACACAAATGACATACGCTTGAATTTTCAAAGATTTTTTGGAGAGGCTAAAATGAACATAAATTTGTTTTATATTTTAACTATGGGTGGTCCCAAAAAGGACACTAACTGATAAAGGAAATATTTATGATTTTCGACCAACTCAACTCAAATCTATGAAGAAGCTATGATTGGTAATTTTTAACATCTGATCTGAATCAGGCTTTTATACATAATCTGTCAATGGCCGAACTGTCAGCATTCCATAGGAAACAATTGAGAACCTGCCATCCGAAAGTGTTTACATTAGATATAGAAAGGTCCAAGATTAACCCGTCACTTACATGTCGGTAGGCAATTGGTCATCATAAATCATCATAAATTTGAAAGATAGGAATGGAATGTCATTTTAGTCAATGGCATATTTTGAGTTATGTTTTGTTAAACTGTTCACAGGAACATCATAGAAAACGAAGCGGCTTAAGGGGGTTGTTTTCCAAGGCAATCTTGTCAATGATCGCGTTTGTTCTCTAAGGAAATCTTGCCATTGATCTTGCGATCTTCCA